CCCCTTTTCCAATTCACACCCCTTTTGCCCATTGTGTGATATATTGATCATTTTTGCATTTTTCTTTTTGTTTCTGACTTATTATTTTTTGCTCAAATATAAAAAAATATCAAAAATATTTTTCCATACATTTTTGCATTTATTTGGCATTTATTTGTTTTATTTAGCATATACATGTAAATAAATATATATACTTTTTATTTAAAACCCTAGAAAATAATACAAAAATAAATATTTTTCAGTTATTATTTTTTGTTTACCTTTTGAAAACATTTTCTAAAAATATACTTTTTTGTAAATAATTAATATTTTACTCTTGTATATATTTAATATATTCAATATATAATATAAATACTTGTATATATTTATTAGAATACTTAGGATAAAATATGAAAATAATACATTTTTATTTTTATTAATATATGACACTAAAAAATACTTTTTTTACAATATACTTCTTTTTTTTATTTTTGTATAGAATTAACAAATATTGTATATAATTAATAAATAAATACTATTTATTTAGAAAACTAGGGTTTTGCCCTAAACCATAAAAAATATTCAAAATTTGACCTTTTTATTTTTGTTTATATTTTACATTGAAAAACACTTTCACATACATAAAAAATCATTTTTGTGCATAATACATTTTTGCATATTTATTTGTCTTAATATTGTACAATTAAATAATTTGTATATTCGATATGGATGTAATAGTTTTAGATTTAATTTCTTGCCAAATATCCCCCCATTCAAACATTTGTACCCCCATCCCCATAATCATGTTGTAATAATTTAGGACTTTAAATTTCCGTATTTAAAAGCTTTCAAATTATGCCATGATAGACCTAGGGTTTGTATGCAAATCAAAAATAACAAATAGCTTGACTAATGCAAAGACAAAAAAGCATGAAAATGGACAACACAATGCACACTTGCACCCTTAGGGTTACTCCACTTGTTGCCTTCAAAGATGGGCCATGTTGCATGTTGAGTGTGTTTGGCAAAACAAAAACAAACCAAATGATCATAGTCCCTCGATGACGCTTTCTCAAGTTGCCTAAAAAATGATCAAGTCCCTTAAAGGAAAAATTGCTAAAGACACTTGGCACTATTGCATTCATGGTCTAAACGATGACCCGCGTCCATCCCGTTAACATCCTAACACAAGATTGTCCACCAAATACAATGGTGGAACAATACTGTTAAAAGGGTTAAAACATAGGAAAGATCTTTGAGAAATTTAGGGGTAGACAACTCTTAGTTACTTGATCAAACTTGCAAAACACACTTGCCTACTTTCAAAGCACACTCCACAACACAACTTCCAAAACAACTTTCAAAAAAGCATTGAAACATATTTTCAAAAAGACAAACACCTTTGTAAAACATTCGAGTAAAGAATTGTTACAATGGTTGCCTAGACAAGGCATCTTTTTCAAAACATTTTCAAAAACCACACACAAAGCACCATTTCAAACAATTGAAAGCACAATTTCAAACAATTGAAAATGCAAGGCAAGTGATCTAAGCAAGTAACTAAGAGCCCATGGATAACCATGGATAGAAAGGGTGCTAATACCTTCCCTTTCTATAATCTACTCCCCGAACCCAAGAAAACATCTCAAAGGTTTTTCCTGTGCTTTTTAACCTTTCCTTAGGATAAAATAAAAAGTCGGTGGCGACTCTTGCTAAACCGAAACATTTGCGAAAACAAACGCAAAACCTCAAGTCAGTTCTCCCACCGTATCACAGAACTGGCGACTCTGCTGGGGAAATATTTTAAAAGTGGAGTAACCTTAGGGCTTAGATCACCCTTTTGCATGACTAATTGTTTGCTTTGATTGCTTTACATCTTGGTTCTCTTGTTTGGGCTTGAAATCCTACACTCGGATTTGGGAAACATTCATAGATAGCAATACATTATGGAGACTGTGCGGGGTATACCGACACGGTTAAAGCAATAGCTATATTAGTGCGACATATTTGTGAGTACCGGTAACCCTTGAGTTCAATCAAGGAGAGTACGGGGCCGCTGAGTGATGTCACTAAGCACTAATGACCTAGAACCTTACTTGACCATCTTGGCCTTTTATTAGGGGTAGTGAGATGACCGGCTTTGGTGCAGTCCAAAGTTGGTAGATACTCGATACTACACTCATTGAGGGTTGTTTTCTTGGAATATTTTGGTCGCTAGTTAAGTGGCTAAACCAAAACAATGAACATGGAAAACAATCCAATGATATTGAGCTCCTTAGAACCCGGTTACTATTTATAGGACAGGTTTTTAAGCCAACTTCACTCAAGAGGGTACTTACCTATGAAACCTCATGCAACCCTGAAACTAGAGTTTTGTGTGATTTGCTTGTACATATGTTTGTGCATACATCATGAACATCATAAAGCATCATATGCATCCACTAACCATTTCAAGGGTTTGGATCTTCATCTTTGTTCTTGTTTTGTAGGTCATGGAAATTCTTCGCAGGAAAACTATCCAAGTCAACCTTGTGAGGATCCCTACTCAACTCAAGGAGCTCACATCCAGAATTCCAGAAAGCTCTCTCTTCAGTGAAAGACATGGTAGACTGCTCAGCCTAGTCAACACCATCATTGAAGAAGACATGGTGAAAGTGTTGTTCCAGTTCTTTGACCCCCTTCATCACTGTTTTACATTCCCCGACTACCAATTGGTGCCCACTTTGGAGGAATTTTCTCAACTCCTGAGAATTCCTATTCTTAATCAACTACCCTACAACGGTACGGAAAAAGAACCAAAGCCTGAAGATGTTGCTCAAGCATTACACTTGCAACCATCTGACATCAAGGGGCATTGGGAAACTAGAAGTGGTGTCAAAGGCTTCTTGGAAAAATTCTTGTTTGAGAAGGCACAAGAGTGTTGGAATTCATTGGATCTACAAGTCTTTGAAGAAATTGTGGCACTCCTCATTTATGGGTTGGTCTTGTTCCCAAATCCTGACCAACTTATAGATGTCAACGCTGTCAAGATTTTCCTGTCCAGGAATCCCATACCTACATTTCTTGGGGACATCCTCCACTCATTTTACACACGAACAATGAGAAAGAGAGGTGTTCTCATGTGCTGTACTCCTCTCCTTGCAAGGTGGTTTATTTCTCACCTTCCACAATCTGTTTTGAAGAATGAACAAGGCTTAAGGTGGTCACAACCGTTGATGACCCTCACACACTCTGATGTACATTGGTGTTCTCGGTCCAGAGAAAATTTCATCCTTATCGATCACTGTGGTGAGTTCCCTAATGTTCCATTACTTGGCATTAGAGGAGGAATATCAACAATGAAATCACGATCGAGAAACACCAACAAGACAATAATGAAACCACGATCGAGAATCGCCAACAATCCAACAATAAAACCACAATCACCGAACAAAATCACCAAGAATAACAATCACCAAGCAGAATCACCGAGAAGTAGAATTACCGAGAAACATAATCGCAAATCACATTATGCTAGCAGCACCAATTGATTAACAATCACCGAAACAACTTGCGATAAACACAGAATCAAGATCACGAAGTAATAACGATAAAGAAATCACGAAACGACAATTGAAAGATTTCAATTGAGAAACGCGATTTCGATAAATACAAACAAGAAACACGATTTCAAGAGTGACCCAGTGGGGTGTCACTATTCAACTAAGATAACAAGATTCACAGGTTAGATCGAACCTTCTGATACCATGTCACAATTTCTGACTTCATGCTTTTCTCATTGCATTTGATACTATATATGTAATAGTGTCGGTAATTACAGGTAATTACAATTCATAATAACTAATTACAACTTATAATAACTAATTTCCTATTCTATGAATGTAAATTATTCACAATAAACGCGTTTGATTATTTCCTGATTAACAGGAGCAACGATAGTGGTTGCAAGAGAACAATATAACCATTTCTTTGAGATTGAAATGAATCTTGTTGAACTCAATGTTGTTTAGCTTCAATCAAAGACAAAGTAACACATAACAATAGTATTCAACATCATAAACTAATTATTTCATGCCCATCTTCAGATTAAGTGTGAAGTTGATGGTTGTTTTGCCAATTTAAAACTGCATCACATTCACTTGCACATACTACTGAGCCATGTTGAACCTATGGTCAAATCAAAATTAGAAGATGCACTAAATGCTTCAGCATGATCAATTTCACCGGAGTTATAGTATCCATTGGAGTTTTAGTTTAATTTACGATTAGTTTGTTTGTAGTTTTTTAGATCCAATTAGTGGACACATTGCTTGTGTTGACCAAGTACATGCAACATGTCTTCATATTTTACTGGTGATGTGCACACTTTCGTTAATGGACTGCAAATACAATGAAGTTAACATGAATATCCATTAGCCTATATTAAAAATAATATAAGAAAACTACAGTTACAGTTGAAGAACTGTACTGTAATAGCCTCACATCATGTCCAGCCATACATTGTGCATCGATATACGACTCCACTCAATCATGAATTCATATGTTAAATTGATTCTGAATAATTAATAGTACATGATTTGTAAGCATAAACAATAGTTGAAATTGAAAATTAAGAAGTTGTACCAGCTCATAACTGCAACCTTAGAATATTACCAATATGTATCAATTGGATTTTAGTGACTGTGGATCCTTGGATTACCGGTGTAGAACTTATATGTGGATAAGGGCGTTTTCCTTTTCAAAGTTCAACAAATCGAGTTTTCATGGTGGTCAATAGATCTAATTAGGGGTGGCTAACGAACATGTTCGCGCCCGTTTAGTCCGCCCCGCAAAAGCCCGCAAAAAATGGGACGGGGCAGGGCAGACATTTTTGAAAGCGCGGGTTCAATTACTAGACCCACTCCGTTTAATGATGGGCATGCGGGTATGCGGGCATGCCCTCTCAACTACTTTAAAAAAAAACAACTAAAAAACTTTTTTTCACTCATATTATAGAATTTCTTTAAAAAAATACACCACTAATGAAAATGCAAGTAAAAGGTTCAACACCTTACACAATCTTACAAGTTCAACACCTTCCAAATTTAAAATCAAACAAATTCAACACCAAGATAATTCAACACCTTACAAAACCTTACAAATTCAACACCTTACAAATTCAAAATATCAATAAAAGTTCAAAACCTTACAACTTAGACCATCAAACAAGTCAACATAAATTACAAAACAAGTCAGAAAATATTCAATAATCAATCTTCATCTAAGTCATAAATAAAAGACGCTTCTGTTGTAATTCTTTTTTCCAAACTTCCATATTCCTTATCTTCATCATCATCCAATACACCTATAAAAAATGTAAGTGTGAGTAATTAAAATAACAAAATATTAAAAATATCACAAAGTATTGAGAGAATTTTTTATATTTGATTATTTACAAAAACTATTAAAACCATGAAGTCAATTATGTGTACAAATCAATGTCTCTACATTCTTTGACAACAAGCGACTTCTATATTTGTTTAGAATTATTGAATCAATGCTGAAAGCAGATTAAGATACAACTGTAGTAATATGGATGCCTAATAAATCACGAGCCATTACAGATAATTCTTTAAATCTATTCCAATTCTCCTTCCACCATTGAAGAACATTCAAGTCATTAAAATTTTGATAACTTAAATCCACACTTGCCTCCTCCAAATAAATATTAAGTTGAGACTTCCCAGTTTCTGTTGCAAGTTATTGTTTGTGTATTTTCAAATCCTATTATGTTAAAACAATATGTCACAGCGTGTTAGAAATCAAGATATATTTGAAAATATATTAGAACGGTATTTAACAACACTTTATAGCAAACAAAAACACTTAACACAACATTTAACAGCATAAACACAACACTTTAACATTTAACAACATGTGCAAACAGCCTTTCACAACACATGTTTAACAACACTTAACAGAATGGATAAACAACCTTTCACAGCACATGTTTTGCAATTCTCAGCACTCAACACAATATTTAATAGCACTTAACAGAATGTGAAAACAGTCTTTCACAGCATCTACTTTGCAATTTGCAGCCCTTAACACAATATTTAACAGCACTTAACAGAATGTACAAACAACTTTTTACAACACCTATTTTACAATTCACAACACTTACCACAATATTTAACAGCACTTAATAGAATGTACAAGCACTTAACAACACTTAACAAAATGTACAAACAAGTTTCAAATTAAAGCAAGCATAAAATAATATAATAAAACAAGCTACTTACATTGAATAAACCTTTAGTGAACGCGTGAGAACTTGATTCTCCTATAGCGTTGGAAGATGGAGTTTGAGAAGTTGTTAAAGATGAAGTGTGAAGGGAACGATACATCTCAAAAAGAGTGTACAACTTCTGCTTTATTTCCTCTGTTTTAAGATTTGAGGTAAGTGGATCAACTTTTTCATACATATATTCCAAAGAGGTAAGCTTAATCCTCGGGTTAAGAACTGCTCCTAAAGCAAGAACCACACTATAATTACTCCAATACTTATCAAATTTGATCATCATTTTTTTAGCCACGTCTCTAATAAGAGTGTCTTTATCTTTGATGCTTTCCATCAAAACACACTGAATTTTCCAAATTTGCAAAAAATAAAAATTAGAAGTAGGATAAGACGTTTCAGAAATTAAGTTTGTGGTCTCATAAAATGGCAACAATAATGTGCATATATTATCTCCTCTTTCCCAATCTTCTTCTGAAGGGAAAACCTTATATCATCATGAAAACTAAGACTTCCAAATACACATTGATACTTCAATGCACTTTGAAGCATCAAATAAGTAGAGTTCCATCTAGTGGAAACATCATAAGACAAACCAGCCGAAATTTCAACACCACCAATGAGTTCAATGCGTTCCTTGAATTTTTTAATTCTACCATCTGAGCCCTTCACATATTTGACACTTTCTCTAATTTTTTCCAACGTATCATCAAGTACTTCCAAACCCTCTTGAACAATAAAATTTAAAACATGTGCAGAACAACGAATATGAAAGAACTTTCCATCAGATAACAACCATTTTTGCAAGGTAAGTTGTCTTTTTCAAGTGAGCTTACATCATGTCATTAGCTGAAGCATTATCTGATGTGATGAAAAAAAATATTCTTCTCAATTCCCCGATCAGATAAAAATTCAAGAATCTTTTTCGACAACTCAGATCCCGTATGTGGGGGAGGCACGCGACAAAAGTTAAGAATCCTACTCTTCAAATTCCAATTAGAATCAACATAATGGGAAGTCAAGCAAATATAACCCTCGGTAGTACAAGTTGTCCACAAATCAGAAGTTAATGAAATTCTAGAGGGAATGTTAGCTAATTCCTTCTTAAGTGTTTCTTTCTCCATCTTGAATAGTTGTTCAACATCAGCCTTAACAGTATTCCGTGAAATAGGTGAAAAATCAGGGTTCAAATATTTCAACCAATCCCTAATAAATTAAAACTCCACAAAATTATACGGCAAATCATGTGCAATGATTTCTCTAGCACACATTGATCTAGAAACCTTTTTATCTATCGCAAGATTCTTGAGTCTACCTTACAAGTCAACCATCACTTGACCTACATCAGCATATTTGATTTTAGTGCACTTTTTCATATGACGATTCAAACTCGTGGTACCATAATTCCTATCGCCGCCCTTCAAAATCTTTGAACAACCATTACACTTAACCCTTGGAATTCCATCTTTATCCTTCCCAATTTTAGTAAACACTTTCCAACAATCCGCATTTGATGTTTTTTCCTTTTTAGACTTAGGTGTAACATCATCTCCAGATTTACTTTCATTTTCACCTTGAATAGTTTCATTCTCATGGATCAAATCAACCACATTCACTTCATCTACAATTTCATGTGCAACTCTTTGTAATTCCATTTCAAGTTATAACTTATGTATCCAAATAAAACCAATTAAAACAAATATAAGGATAATATGAATTACTGAAGTTAAAATATCAAATAGTCCCACATGCATAGGGACCATATTTTAGAATTATGACCCAATTATTCAATCTACATCTACTTTCAGAAATTTTTATAAAGAAATATCTATAATATCCTAACATCACTCATTTCTTGTCCCATTCTAGCTTCTTGCATTCATTTACATAGGAAAACATGATCAATCTATAACACCACAAAACAATGCAACATTTAACATTTTCACCATACTATATATACACAACAAGAATTGATGAAAATATTTACACTTGGGTTAACGTTTCCAACTATTATGTCAAATAAAGATGACTACATCCATGAAAAGCATCATTAATAATGAAAAACAATACAGTAAAACAAAACTGCACTAGTTTCTGTTTTTTCCAACTTGAATTAAAAAATACAAGCAAAGACAAGAAATAATAGTAACAAAAAAAGAAATAAATGAATCTCCAACATTACATTACATTACATAAACCCCATCTAGTTAAAGCAGACACCAACACCATCAAGTATTGTTTCTTTCTTCTCTCTAATATTGATATCACTAAGTGTTGCACATGTGTCTCATTGAATTTCAATCAATATGAATCAGTCATATTCTATAATAATTACTCTCTTTTAACTATTCTAAACTAGTACTAGTATATTGATATCATGTGCTGTAATATGCATAGTTCCACCAAAAAGAACCTAATTTCATTGGTATCCTAATACTAGTTTTTCATTAGTTAATTCCTTAATAATTGTCTCCTAGAGAGAACACTGAGTTACAATTGCAAGCTTAGTGGTACAATTGTAAAGTACATATCTATAAAGAGTAAGTTCAGATTATTAAAATGGCTAGGTTTTTGAACATGATGGAAGATACAATTTTCCAAACTTCAGATTATGAAGAAAACAAAAATAATAGAATAAATTTCAGATTTAGAGTACCTTAATTTATTCCTAACAGCAACTTGAGCTTTATAGAAGCAGATGAGAGAGATGGTGGCAGGGAGACGGGACGACAGCAACAAGCAAATGAGAAGAAAATTTGGAAAACCTAATCTTTTAACTTATATTTTTTTTAATTAATGAGTTAAATTTTGTTTGGAATGTGTGTATGATGCAGTAATATGAATAGACAGAATAGTGTGTGGGTGTGGCCCAAAAAAAATAAATAATTTAACTTTTTTAACCATACACGCGTCTGCCTCACGCCCGACCCATTTTTTTGCGGTACGGGGCAGGGCAGGCTTACTAAAAAATGCGGGTTTGAAATCCAGACTCAGCCCACACTAATTGACAGGTAAAACGGGCATGCCCAATAGGCCGGACCCATTTTTCCACCCCTAGATCTAATGCATGCTGAGCTTTCACACATTATCAAAAAATACTCATAAGCTTTGAAGTCTTAGAAAAAAGGAAACAAACAACTACTATATGAATGTTGGCTCATGTTATCAAAATACTAATCAACTTTGAAGTCTTGGAAAATACAATACAACATGTCAAAGTGATTTGCAAGCAAAACCAACTAACAATTATTTTTGAAATTCTAAAGGTACTGCAAGCTATATGAAAGTATAAAAATTTAGATTGAAAGTGTTTCTGGTGTCCGACAAGGCTGGATGACACAACTTAGTAAGATTGGTTTGAATTTCAAATAATCATAAAGTTGTCTTCTAGCCCTCTTTTTTTTTTTTTGCTGCAACCTAAAGATATATTGACTGTCAGTTAAATTAAAAAGTGTATTCGATTAGCAATTGTCATAATCATCGTTAAAAACTCAATTTCTCCGACCTAGAAATAATGGCAGAAAGCAGTTTGAGCCTCAAGCGATAATATATTATGGAGAAGCTTGTAAAGTTTAACATTATGATTGTGATTTAAGCACCAACATCATAATTATCATTTTTGACATCTTCGCGACATTAATACAAACAATTATTGTGCATAAACCATATTTAAGTGTGATTCTCGACAATATCAATTGAAGTGTAAAGAAGAAAGAAAATGAACCTGATTGAATTCAAGTACATCAGGCTTGTACTATTTTGCTGCCTAAACATCATAACAATATTCGAATGGTTCGTTAGAAAATTAATTAAAAAAAATTAAATATCCATAATCAATCAAACAAATCATTAGAATTAAATTAATGAAACTCCAAAATTGAAAAAGCTCAAACCTTGAACGACTCGCTGTCTGTTCTGAAAGTAACACCTAGTACATACTTTAGCCAAACAGGAAACTCTGCATACAAAACATGTTATCTTTAAGTAAAATATTTATCTTTGACAATGTTTTGGGATTTCTCTAGAACTTGCTTGGTATAAAACATCTCCTTCTCTATAGAATCATATAATAGTTTAAATGAGAATTTATATTTTCTGTGAGGATACTAATCATCCTATCTTTGGTTTCAATTGAACATTTCATATGATAAGTAGATTCCTACAAAACCCAATATTTTAAAACTGGTAATTCATAATCAGGAGTTCTAGAAAAAAAATGTAAATCTACTTTAAAGTATGATCCTTCATAGCCTTAGTGATACCCACAAGATCATCAAACCTAATCCCAAATCTTGGTGGTTTAAACATATTAAATGCGCTTTTGCACCCTCCACCCACCGAGACAGAAAAGTTCAGTTATGCTAAAACATGAGGATTAGATGAAATGAAAGTAATAGCTAATAGTCTAATATGGTATACTCTTATTTCATGATATGGGTCTCTACAAATATTCCCTACACATGTTTCAATATACTACTCTGATTTCAATATACTAACACATGTTTTAAAATACTTTCCCCAAATTTGTATTATATGCTAATTAAAAAATAATAGACCCAAAAAGAGAAAACTTTCTTGTAACTCAGACATAAAATAAAGATTGAAATCATATCATTCATATCTTTTTTGCAGCTAACTTCTAGAACCTGGAAACAATTCTCCCACCTTCATTTACAAATTATTAATATTTTTGTTAATTAATAAAACAATCACAGAAAAACCATAACCTAATAATCTGCAAAAATAAAACAATCACAAAAAAAATTTAAACGGTGAGATAAATACATTTCATGAGTTTCAACAAATCAACCTCACTTGATGTTGTCTCCCTTGCGTGCCTTCTCAACCTGCGTAAGACCTTGTTAGTACTTGAAACAACAACATCAAGGAGAAGAATAACATAAGAGTAAGAAACTGAGAAATGCATAGTTTATCTTCGTCGGAAACCACCTTATCACATCCTGCCGCCGATAAATTCCGATTCTATCTCTTTCCATTTTTCTGTTTTCAATTTGTTTTGGGTATTTATCTTTTGTTTCTCTTAGTTGTGAAAGTAACAAAGATGCATTTGAAAAAAATAGATGAATATGTGTTTTGGGTATTAATGTGTTTTTCAGAACATTTAATTTTTTTATATTATTATAAATAGATTATAGATGGTCGCATATCACTTGGAAACGACATTCCGTGTCCATATTTCTCAACAAAACTACCCCACTTCTCACTTTTTGCTCTCACTCTGTTCAAACTTTTAAGTCTAGTCCAAACCTCAAACCCTAGTTCATCTAAATCGATTCAATTTACGCTTGTTTTCGTTTCAGATCCTCTACCTGAAGCTCTCGATTCGTAGCTCAAATCACTCTATTCGATTCCTCTTCAGGTTAATTTACTTGCTGTTTTGATTTTGTCGCTTTTGATTTGTTAGGTTTTGAGATCTGAAGGTGTTTTTGTTTGCAGATTTGATTCGATCGGTTATCAATTCTCTTGAAATGTCGGATTTATCATCCAAAGGCGATTCGGTTCAAATCAGAGAGGTTTGGAACAATAATCTCGAAAAGGAATTCGAGTTGATCCGTGAAGTTGTTGATTATTTCAACTATGTAGCTATGGATACAGAGTTTCCTGGTGTTGTTCTCCGTCCTATAGGGGTTTTCAAGCACATCACCGATTATAACTACCAGACTTTGAAGGATAATGTTGATATGTCGAACCTGATTCAGTTAGGTCTCACTTTCTCTGATGAGAACGGAAACCTACCTACTTGTGACACTGGGAATCCTTGTATCTGGCAGTTCAATTTCCGCAAAGACATCGCTGGGATCGACGACGTCCCTGGGATCGACAGGGACCAGTTCAGCACGCTTCTTCTGTCTTCGGGAATTGTGTTGAATGATAACATAAAATGGATTACTTTTTACGGTGGATATGGTTTTGGTTATCTGCTGAAGCTTTTGACTTGCAGAACTTTGCCCGATACGCAATCGGGGTTCTTTGATTTGATCAACCTTTATTTTCCAATGCTTTGTGATATAAAATATCTGATGAAATTCCGTAACAGTTTACATGGTGATTTGAACAAGCTTGCGGAATTGTTGGAAGTTGAAAGGCTTGGTGTTGACCATCAAGCTGGATCCGATAGTTTACTCACTGCTTGTGCATTTAGAAAATTGAGGGATACTTTCTTCAACGGTGAAACGGAGAAGTATTCTGGTGAGTTGTATGGATTAGGTGTTGAGACTGATTAATTGGAAGAAAAAGTATCGTTGGTATTATATTACAGTATCTTTGTTATGTGTGTGTTGTGAGTCTACCTTAAATAAATTGTACTCTAAGTATTGTTTGGTGTGCATTTTGTAATGAAGGGGTGAATCTGGATTTCAGTATTCAGACAAATCCTGAGCAGTTTTATAAACTATAGTACAACACTTGAGAATCTTTTTTCTGTCTAGTTACTGGTGGTGTTGATGACATGAATGACATTTTTAAAAATTGGTTGTTCTGCTAAACACTTTATTGCCCTTTCTCTCAGGGTTTGATTAGTAGGCGAGAGTTTGCTGCGAAAGAGAGGATAAAACATATGGGACTCACCAGTTTTTTAACTCTCCTCAAACTAGCGAAGAAAGGAGTAGACACATTGCTATTTTCATAAATACCCTCTATTCATATGTTTTTTCATATTATATTACACTATTATTTCTAAAAATAATTCTAAAAACTACTATTAAAAAAATAGTTTGTTTGGAGATTTAATAATTAATTAATTTAATTAAATAATCCATTTATTTTAATGGTAGCTTCATTAATATTTTTAATTAACATTTAACTAATAAATAAATTTAATTTAATTTTTAATAAATACTTTAATCAATGATAGTTTAGTAATTTTTATAGTTAATCAACACTTCTCTCTCTCTTTTATTTCTTTCTTATGCATGTGCATTGATTACAACTCTATGTAACTAAATTATTACTAATGTGCGGATCGAACTTAGGTTTAGGCACTTGAATTTTCTCTTAGCTATATTTTTGTAAGAAATGAGACAAACTGTTCAACAACTTCAAATTCAAAATTGTACTATTCTTTTGTTAAATATGTCAACCTCGATTCACTAATTTTCCTCCTTCCTTTACTCGTCCCCCACCTTCTCTGTCAATTTATCTTAGTTGTTTTAAAGATATTCTTTCATGATTATAGAGATACATTGAATCAGGAGAGAAAAGTATGTTTGATATTTAATTACAAATGAGGCAAGGATAAATATTTTTATTTGAAATTTTCAGCGCACACATGGTAGATTATTTGTTTCTTGTTGTTTTTTCAATTTTGTTATTGCAATTTGGAAATCTATTTGCAAACATGTTTATAAATTATATCTATCTACTTTTGTTTATCATGTATTGTTTTTTGTCTCCATAAAAATATTTGCAGGGCACTGCAACTGGAGGCACTGTGGAGATTGTGGTAAATGGGACAATCGGTTTGCTCCATCCTGCTAGCAAGGTAGGTGTAACACCTCTTGCACATAACATTGTGAAATTGGCAACTCACCAAAGAAGAAATTGACTATGGGAAATAAATGATACGAGAGAGTGAAAGAGAGGTTTCTGGAGCACCATATGTCAGAGAGAATTGCATTGGTTCTCAAAGAAGTTTTAGAGAAGGCAAAGTACAGTTAAATCCAGCTTAGGTACTTTACTATTAAATTGTAAATTCATTCCAAAGAAAAAGAGAGAATGGTTTGGTTATGAATGAATTGTATATCTCACTTTCTTTGTTCTGTATGGTATGAGTAATGGGTCAACGTATAAGACTCTGATGTATTGTTTGGTCTTCGGACGGAGAATATACTGTAAGAGAAAGTACTTGAAAGATTAAAAAATTTAGCAAAATTTTCCAAGTTTGAAGTTCACTTCGAAATACTCCTATTTTATTCATTTTGTGATTGAAGAATAAAATGGCGGTAACAACCAAATAATCCTTAATGTTTCTTTAAAGTGCAAGTAAAATGTGTGTCTATTATTAATTTACTATTTATAGGACCAAACAAAAATAATCACGTTGGCAATTGATTTTGCTAAATAGAAGCCTGACACGGTTCTCAAAATAAAATTATATTATTGTTTTAGATGCCTGCTTACTAAAATAAGTTTTCTATATGAAATTTTAATTGAACTCAAGATGTTTTTCGTATTTCAGGAAAAGAAGAGTATTTGACCAACTTTTTCAGCAGGACGAATATTTGGCGGTACTATATTGGCAATGTGAAAGTTTAATAGCTGAGTGTTAGTTTGCGATGTATTAGTGTTTCCAGTGATTTCTGGTAAACAACCGCTAGTCTTCCAAACTATCGAATAATCTTTCTGACTGTTATTCAATTCCTCTGGTAACTCACAGGATCGACTAGATTGATCCTAGGACTCCTTGGATATTAAGGTTACTCTCACGATCGAATAGATATTCATGGTTGATATTGTATATGTGTTTGGCTTATTTCGATTTCTCTCTCTAAAGGTCTAAAGATGTAATCAAAATGTGTGTGTGAAAACTAAGTTACATGAATAAATGCTAATTGTAAAGACATGTAAAATTGCATAAAAGTGAAGTAAATGGTTTCGACTTACAAAACAGTTAATATAAAGGATTTCTGGAACGTAAAAGGTTTGAAATATGGAGAAAGCGTTTAATGCAAGAAATCTTTAAATGACTTTAAGTAAAAATATGCATTCGAAGGATAAGACTTGAAGGTAAAGGTATGGAAAATATGACAGTTTTCTGAACTATAAAGTGCTTGAAATATGAAGACAACATTAAAATGTGAAACTTTGAAGAAGAAATTTCGAAGTGAAAAGACTGTAAATGAGAAAACTTGTAAATGTTATTTGACAAAAGGATAAAGGAAAGTGCTGGAAATGGTAAAAGGTTTTCATTAAATCAGAAATACACGGTGCTATCATACATACATTTCTCTTGCATTCGTTTCCCTTGCCATGTGGTAGTTTGAATGTGTTGTACCCCAAAATTTGCCCTCCCATATTCTTCAAAGATTTGCCAAGTCAAACTGCAAAATTTCCCCAAGGGTTGCACAGTCAAAGATCTCCTATACAGTCAAAACTAGGGTTTGTGTTCTGATCAAGGAAATAAAGTTTTCAAAGGCCCAATCAAGTCCCATATGCCTACAAATATGGTCAAGCATCCTCATATCAAGTTTCAAGGCATTCGCACAAAATTGCACAGTCAAAACCCTAATTGCACTACAGTCAACTGTAGGGGCAAAATGGTCATTTGATAGTCAAAAGTTCAAATTTTTGGTCAACATATCATTTTGAAGCCACAAACATCATTTGATCAATGCTTGATCATGATTCCCAAAATTTGGCTCAAAAATCATCAAGATGCAAAAGTTTCCTTATTTGGACAGTTGAAAAAAGTCAACTGAAATTGACCAGGGCATAACTTTCACATGGATTATCAGAAAAATTCCATCCAAAGCTCATTTTGAAGAGAAAGACATTTCCTACAACTCATCTTCATACTTAAAGTCCAAGAAATGCTCTCACAAAAAGTTATCAATTTCAACATTATAGGTCATTTTCAAAAGTCAACAAAAGGGACTTTAAGTCAAAGGCCATAACTTGAGATTGGTAAATCAAAATGACATGGGACCAAAGACATTGGTTAGAGGACTCAAAGACCTTTCCAAAATGTCCAAGAACATGAGAAAAGCTTAAAAATTGAGCAAGTTATGCCTTGTGGAAGTTGGGAAATTTTTGGATATTTTGAAAAGTCAACATTGACTCAAATGACCTAAAATTGCTAATGGGCCCATTTTTCTTCCATGATTCATCATTCCAAGCATGTGCACGACTACTTGGCCCAAAGGGAAGTATTTTCTCATTTTTTTATTTATTTATTTGAATTTTTATTTATATTAATTCATTTAAATCATTTAAATATGTGAAAAATATTTAACCTAACCTAACAAACCTTTTTGTACATGTTTTAGACTCAATAATTCGTGCACATTCAAATTAGGAAAGATTTGGGGTGATTGGATATGATTTGTGCAAAAATAGCATGGAAAATATTTGGTTAAAAAGCTTGAAAATCAAATCTTCAAAAACCATTAATTCAAGAGATTTTGATCAATATTGTTGACCTAATGCACTCAGTACATAAGCATAATCACAACCCTAATGTAAAGAACACAAAAAGCTGCGCTCAAAGGCCATTGACAAACTTGAATTTTTCTCAAGAAACTCAAATTCTGAAAACACCTTTGCAAGGTGATTCAGGTCTCAAGACTTCTCCCATTAGCCTCCACAAGGTCCATTGAACGTGTCTCAATCAAAAACAGTCACCCAGACCTCAAGAATCGCTGTACAGAATCCAAAATTTTCTCATAAAATTGCATACTCGTATCTTGATTTTAAGGCATTTCCATGACATTTAGTTTATGTATTCTTATTCAATGATGCATTCTGGTGCTTGCCATGTGATTTAATTGCGTTTTTATGCGTTATATACAAATATGCCATGATTGATTCTTAGGGTTTGCAGAGCTTCAGATTAGGGGTTTTTGACCAAAGAAAAATTAAGGCTTGTGACCACCATCATTCGAATCATTGCGCTTGGACGAACAAGAACCAACCATCGCGCCAAATTTCTGAATGACACAGGCCTAATCGCTATTTTCCCATAGCCGGCCTAATGAAACGCATAGAAAACCGTTGCTTTTGTTTTTGTATTTCAGGGATGATGAAGAAGATGAATTCGTGGCGTGCATTGGTTGGTCAGTTTGAAATTCGCGCGCGTTTCCAAGGCCACTGACCATTTTCTTTTATAATATTGAGTTGTTATATTGATATACAGATAAACAAGGCGCTTCAGTGGCAAACGTGTTGATTGGCAAGGTATGTGACCTGGGTTCGAACCCCAGGTCTTACATATTTCCATATTATTTTTCATTAACAAATCCCATGCGCTTCAAGGCTGCAGACGTACCATATGTCTTCAAATATCTCACATCCATGTGTCCCTGGAGATCAAATCAAGGGCTGAGATTGGAAGTGCATCATAAGCCTGGTCAAAGCGCTAGCATGCTACCTGGAAAAGTCAACGAATTTGCAGGTTGTTGGGCCAGAATTCTTGGATCAAAACCTCCTATTTGGGGACTACCCCCCCTGGTTTGCAATTCTTTATATTTTTCCTTATTGTTTTATTTTCAATTATTTTTTATTTTCTCTTAATTATTATTTATCCAGTTAATTAATTATTTTTCATAAAATATAAAAATGCATAAAAATCAGAAAAGATAAAAAATATAATAAATACTTTATTTTAATTATTTTCATAAACAAATTGCATGTAAATTAATTAATTTAAATTAGGGTTTTAATTTTAATTATTTTCATAATAAAAATCTAAAAAAATATAGAACTAGGTTTAAATTGTTTTATTCCTTTTAATTTTTCTTTTTTCACAATAGTATTATTTATTTTATTTATTTTTATAATTAAATTTGCATGAAATTAATTAGGGTTTAATTTAGGTTAAAAAACTTCAATATTTTTCTTAATTACTTAAAAATAATTAGAATTAGGTTTAGTGTTTATTTTAATTTTAATTAATTCCTTTTCTATTAAATCCTAAAATACATAAAAATACCAAAAAATAAAAACAATTTCTTTTCTTAAATTAATTAATTCATGTAACTTTAATGTTTTGCAAAAAGGGTCCAACGCCCTCCTTTCGACTTAATTGTTTAATTTCGCATATTTATTTATTTTGCTTAAATAATTATGTATCTCTCCCGAAGCCTTGTAAATACCTCTCGCACTTTTAATTCTTTTAATTTCTTTACTTTTTCTGTCAAATCGGGTCCTGGTTAATTTTGGCGATGTGGACCCGCGCCATTTGTAATAGCTTTAGATTTACTTTTCCCCGCAACTTTTAACTGTTAAACAAAGCATGCAAGAATGAATGGCCTTAAATAAAATCAAGCGTAGAACACCAATAACATGACAAGACAAATACAAATGAAAACGACACACAATTCACACACACCACCCCTAGGGTACGCCTCACTGTTGCCTTGCCTCGAAAGGTGATCGTCGAGTAGAGGATGTCTTAGTAAGTCCTCATGATCCGGGAACCTGGCATGAGGGTAGCTTCTAAGGTGTCTTCCTATTGCTCTGGTGATCACCATGTCCCAAACCCCGAATTGACCCGAATACCTCCAACGGTGGTGCTACCTACCTCTCAATGGTGGGATGGCACTACTTTAAAGGACATCTACACAGACGAATTCCTTAGGGTAGGTAGACAACTCGTGGATACTTGTTCTAATTCAAAACAAAACAAATCAAAAATACTTTTCACACCGACACCTTTTCAAAAAAAGCTTTCGAAAGCAATTTTTCAAACACTCTTGAGGACCGATACAAGAGTCGAACTGGAATTTTCAAAGAAACTTTTTTTAAAACCCACAATTGAAAAGCAAACAAAACATTTTTGAAAACACAAATGAGCAAGTATCTAAGAGCCCATGGATAACCATGGATAGAAAGGGTGCTAATACCTTCCCTTTCTATAATCTACCTCCCGAACCGAGAGCAATCTCTATAAGGAATTTTTCTGTGCTTTTGTCCTTTCCATTTGGAGAAAATAAAAGACGGTGGCGACTCTTGCTTCCGCGACATTTCGCGAACCAGCGTTAAACAGTCAGTTCCAGATCCACCGATCACAGAACTGGCGACTCTGCTGGGGAGTTAACTTAAAGTGAGGTGTACCTTAGGGTTAGTTCATAACTGTGTTTTCAATTGTATTGACTTGTCTGCTTTAAATTTGTGGGTTGCTTGGGAGTTCTATAGATCCTAAACCCGGATCTGGGGGATACCTTCTTAGAAAGTAGCAACAAGGCTGTGAGGGAACTGTGCGGGGTATACCGACATGGTTGAAACAGTCTGCTACGTTGATGTGGCACTTTGGTGTGTACCGGTAACCCTTGAGTTCAGTCAAGGAGAGTACGGGGCCTCCGCGTGGTGTCATGAAGCATCAACAGACCTTAGGAACCTTAATTGAACTATCTTGGCCTCTTTAGGGTAGTGAGATAACTGACTTTGGTGCAGTCCGAGGTTGGTTGATACTCGATACTACACTCAATTGAGGGTTGCTTTCCTGGAATATTTCGGTCGCCAGTTCAGTGGCTAAATCGAAACGATGAACAATGAAAGCAATCCCGTGATATTGGGACCCTTAGAACCCGGTTACTTCT